AAACATCCGGACTGCTTGTTGATTAATTGACCGATACTCATTTGAAAGTCGGTAAAAGTGACTAGATAAAAAAATTGCGATACGGATTTTATCTTAGTTCAATAGGTCCTCTGTTCTCTGCTCAAGGANTGTTACTTAAAAATTAATTCTAAGACGCAAACCTTAAAGTTAGTTAATGTCTGGTTCCAAACAGAAGGGGACCGTGGAGTCCAGGACGTAACATATACAATAGTCCGGAAATTCTTCCGGATTTTCCTGTACGGCGGTGTAAACGCGATCGTACCACTGGCGGCAAGACCCCGTGTCTGCGGTGCATGTTTCGTTCGTGAGTTCGATCGGGTGACGGGAGAGTGTGTCGGCTACGTGGTTCAGGGCCCCTTTTCGATATCGGACTTCGAAATCGTATTGCTGAAGCTCTAACGCCCACCTTGCGAGCCGGCCGGTCGGATTATCAATTTTCTGAAGCCATTTCAATGCTTGGTGGTCTGTGATGACCACGAAGTGATAACCCTCGAGATATGCTCTCATTTTCCGTATTCCCCAGAGTACGGCGAGGCACTCCTTTTCTGTGACGCTATAATTGCGCTCGGCCCCATTAAGCGTACGGCTAGCGTACGCTACCACGCGTTCTTTTTCTCCGTGATTTTGGGTGAGGACGGCGCCAAGCCCGAATTCGGATGCGTCCGTTTGCAGGAAGAACGTCCGGCTAAAGTCGGGGCAAGCGAGCACGGGGGCCGTCGTGAGTGCTGTTTTTAATGCTTTAAATGCGTCTTCTTCGGTCGCGGTCCATTGCCACTTCACCCCTTTGCCCGTTAATCGCGTGAGTGGTCAAGCACGGTCCGAAAAATTTTCGACAAAACGACGGTACCAGGATAACAACCCTAGAAATTGTCTCACCTCGCGTACGTTCTTGGGTGGGGGAATGCGCGTGATCGCTTCCGTTTTTTCGGGGTCGGTACCGATGCCATTTCGGGTTATCAAATGACCAAGGTAGCGTAATTGTTCGGCCCCAAATTTACATTTTTCTGGGTTAATTCGGAGGTTTGCCCGTCGTAATCTTTTAAATACCTCTCGAAGGTGTTGTAAGTGAGATTCGAGATTTGGACTTACAACAATAATGTCGTCCAGATAGACGAAGACGTTCGGCTCGAGTTCCGGGCCGAGTACGGTATCCAGCAATCGCTGGAATGTGGCCGGCGCGGAGTGAAGGCCAAATGGCATGACGCGGAACTGCATCAGTCCGCGCCCCGGGACGGTAAAGGCGGTGATCGGGCGACTTTCTGGCGCAAGCGGCACTTGCCAGTAGCCGGAGTGAGGAAGAGTGGGAGGGAGGGAGGGAAGGAGGGAGGGAATGAATGAATGAATGAATATTGCTTTATTTCTAAAGCGCTCTGGGATAGTCTTTCCTAAAGCGCAACAATATAAGTATAATATACATAATTTTGATTATAAACAAAGAGAAAAACATTTAACAAAAGAAAAATATATAAAAAAAGAAATTACAAAAAGTAAAGTAAAATTAAAGAAAAATAAAGTAACAGAAACAGAAACATAACGATAATATAAACATTAGAATTAATGTAAATTAATTAAATACGTGTTGTTGAAATACAAACAGTAGCAGATCATGATAGAGAGAGTGACATAGTAGAGATTTATACAATGAACA